CCACTATAAAGACAAGATTCATCAGCCACGGCCATTTCCGCTAGAAGCAGATCTGGGTTCGAAACCAGCACGGACGCAGAAACATGGAACACATTGGCAACTGACAGGCGGATCATCCGAGCCAACGCAAATGAACTAAGGGACCTGCCACAAAAGGAGCAAGCACTACCAAATGACCTGTGAATCCAAAGTTTGCCTTTTGGAGCCTCTAAAAATGAAGTTTCGGACAAGGCCTGTTAAAAACCAAGGACGTGTTCACGCGGAGGGAACGCCTTTGGCACATTCTCCAAAGGATGGCATCAAGCTGCCCTTGGTTGCCGACAACAACCCCACAAAGGGTGCCCCGCACTTTGTTGGACCCCAGACGAAGCGCGGCGGCAGCGGGGTTTTCCTTTGAGAGCGAAGTGGTCTTGCTATGTCCCAGCGACGTTGTACAAAGCGGTCTGATGGAAGGAGGGTCAGTTGTGTGTATGGTTCAGAACCGGGGTGTGGCCACCCCCTCTTTAGACATGTTTAAACAACTCTTGTATAAAAGAACTCCACTGGAATCCATCTCAAGAGGACCGGGGGTTGGTGGTTCAAATCTTGCCCAACTGGTCGTGACTCCCCAAACCCAGTTTGCAACCAAAGCAAGCGAGAAAGTACGAGGCCGGCCGCTAGGAGTGGAAAACATGCGGCAGAGCGATTCGTCCTGGACTGAGTATCAAGAATCAAGATCTGTCTCCAAGTCCCTGTTAAATTCCAAATGAAACTTTTACAATAGCAGCCCCTTGAACCCAGGGGTTCCCTGCAAAGTTTCGATCAGTGCATCTCGATACTTTCTATCCCTTCATGGCCAAATCCATGCACTCCCCCGCCTCCGAGCCAGCCAGTGACATCCACCGCCTGCGGGAACGCTGGGCATGTCTGTCTTGGGAGGCCCGAAAAGCGGGCTTGCGCTTGAAGCAACCGCCAGAACATCATCTTGAAAAACAAACCCTGCCCTGGTGTGAAAGGAAATCGTCGATGCAAAGGAAAGAACTGTAATCCTGTCAACAAGGGAATGTCTTTCGGTGAGGGATTCATCGCAGGGACGACCAGGGAGTTCTGAGAATTCTCCCACCCCTCGGACGATACACTATATATATATATATATATATGTACGAATATTATCTATATACATATGAAACCTGGGTGGAGGGTAGAAGCTTGCTTGATTTCCAAAGTAAGATCTGATCCGAGAAGAATCAATCGCCTTTCGGGCAGCCCAAAGCCGAGCCAGTGGCCAACCATGGCCGTGTCAGGCGTCTTCGAACCGGCGCCCGTCTCATTGACTGTGGATGCTTCACGCTTTCGAGCCTCGCCGATGAAGTACAAGCCCGGCACCGTCTTGCACTCCATGGTCTCATCCTCAGCCGCCGACTGCCGTGACTTCGGATCCAGTTTCCCCGGGCAGGTCCTACGTAGATCCGAAAGTGGATCTGCTTCAGAGACGAGGTGACGCCCGGAACGCACTCCGCGTGTTCAGCAACTCACCAACCTTAAAGACGAGATTCGCCTAGGCAAAACGCACGTCGCCGGCCAAAGAACATGTTCCGGACGCCCCAAACCCTCCACGACCGGTGTTGTGGTTTTGGACCTGACATGCGTTTCGCCTCGGCGAATGCTGTTTGAAAGAAGCAGGAAAAACGAAACTTCGTGTTTTCGCAACGCTGTTCTAGATCATGCTGCCATATAGCTCAGGCCGACATGCACAGCTTGCCCAGCTGCTGAAACAAGCTTCTACCTGTTTGGGTGCCCGCAAATATGCAATCCATCGCGGCGCAGTGGCCGGGGTCACTTGAGCGTATGTGCTTATCATTTGGCAAACCGCGGATACAAGTGTGCGAGGCGTTGCGCGGAGCGCTTGAAAATGGTGACATCGCCTGTCGGAACCCTGCGAACAAACGAACCTGTGAACTGTCAAAATTGGCTAAACAAAAAAATGGAAGAAACAAAAAAACAGCTTAAAATAAGCAGGCTCCGGCCTGAGCGTTCTCGCCATAAACAAGCCACGATCACAACCCGCCGGTAGCGGTCCCCGGTCCCCGGTCCTTTCAATGGCCATGCCGAGCGGCTGACAGCTCTGCAGTGCTCACCCCCCCGCAGGTGACCTCCGCCTGGCTTGGTCCGCCAGGTTGTTGGTTTTGCAGGATTTTCCACGTTTTGTGTTTGGATGTTGTTTCTTTTTATCTTTTTTTTTGGCGGGGGGGTTGTTTTGTTTCTTGTTTTGTTGGTTTTTGTTTTTTTGGTTGTTGATTGTTTGTTGCGTTTTTTGGCTTTTGGTTTTTGGGTTTTTGGTGTTTTGTTTTGGTTTTTGGATTGGTTTTAATTTGTCGTTTGGTTTTTGGTGTTTGTTGTTTGCATTTTGTGTTTTTGTTTTTTCTGTGTTTTGTTTATGTGTTTTGTTTTTTGGTTTATTGTTCTTGTTTTTGCTTTTTTTGTTGTGTTTTGGCTTTTTTTTTGGGGGGGGGGGGGTTCTTTTTGGTTTGTTGGTTTTTGTGTTGTTTCGTTTTATGGGGGGTGTTTGTTGTTTTTTGTTTTTTTTTGTTTTTTGGGTTGTTGGTTATTACTATATTATACTATTTGTTTTTTGTTTTGTCTTTTGGTCTTTGCTTGTTTTGGTATTTTTTTTTCCTTTTTGTTTTTGTTGTTGGTTTTTTTGGTGTTTTGGTTTTTGTTTGTTTTGGTGTTGTTATTTTTTCTTTTTTGGTTTGTTTTTAATTGTTGGTGTTTGGTTTTGGTTTTTGGTTTTCGTTATGGCGTGGAGTTGGCCCAGTCCCTTGAATCCATCTTCGACGTTCTTGCGCCATGTTTCAGGAGAAAGACGCGAAAGGTTCGCGGGTTTTGGGCCCTCCATGGGATGGACGGCCATGCCAGCTCTGGCTTCGGCCGAAAAGAATGTTCTGCGTGGCACATGCGGCTTGGTGGGTGTTGCTTTGGCGGCTGCATCTGGGTGTTGCTCGCGGTCCTCCGTCCGTGTTTACCTCATGCTGGTAATGTCTAGCCCTTACTTGGGCTTTGGAGAGAACAGTTGTGGCTATTCGTTTGGCGGGCTCTCTGACGCAAGTGAGGCTTCACTGGTCTTTTGAGCCTTGCTTACGCGAGACGTGTCTGGCGTTTGCTCGAGGCACTGCCCCGTCTCTGGGTGCTCATCGCTTGCTTGCTCCTTCCGGACAACTTCCGCTACCCCTGGAGTGACCCGGGTTCGCATGCAAGGTGAGAGCAAATAGGAAAGTTGGAACTTCCAAGCACCGGCCAACGTGTTTGCAAAAATAGAATGGGAAAATCATAGAGAAAGATGGAGAAAGAGTTGATCCGGGCTCTCATTGGACCCCTCAGACCCCTCTGCTTGGGTTAAAGCCCACCCTGGTTTCACCCCGCAGGGTTTGATTTGACGGGACCGGGGAGGCCATATGGCATGAGCCCACGGAACCTTGGGACCGGGGCCAGGCTGCAACCTGCCTCTGCGACTCACCTCACTCCGAGATTCACCGCATCCCCCGGCCCTACTTTTGTGGCAGGCCCAAAACAAAACCAAGCAGGTAAAAAGCCTGGCAAGAATGAAAGGACAGTTGGGCAAACATCCTGTTTTGAGAAGGGATGCCCCAAGCAATTGATCGTTTTGGCGAATTTGACCGCCAGTTCATAGTATGAACATGGATTGACTCACATCTCCACAAGATGAACGGGGTAAGGGAGAAAATTGCGCTCAAGAGTCACTCGTCCATGCCCCGATTGAACGTTGAGACCATAGAAGGCCTAAAGGCAGAGGTACTGTCTGTCGAACTCCTGCACCAGATGGAAACCATTTCTTGCTGGTATGTACGGAATCGAATTCCAGCTCTGAACGGTGCGAGAAGCGGATTTCCTCCCCCCGAAAGTTGACACCACGGCCTAAAGGCAGAGACGTACTGTCGCCGGCCGACGCTGGTCCCCCCGCAAACGAAGGACTGACGCTGGCCTTCGGGTAACCCTCCGTGCCCACCACCGTGACCTGGAAACTGCCAAAGGTTCTAACCAAATGAGTCGCTTGCTCAAAACCGAGCCGGTACCAAAAACGGGCCCAGAACCATGCTTCAAGAATTAAGAATTCGGATCTCCGCACCTCTTTCCGGCCGGCTGCTGCCCCTTACTTTTCCTCTACCCGAATCGGTTTTGATTGCAAGTGGCTCAAATGGGATCGACTGGGGGCATGGAAAGCCTAGCTCGCGAACTGGGTACTTGACCGGCTTCTTGGCTGAAGTGTTAGCTAGCTAGAACGGGAGTAAGCTACTTGGCCAGTTCGCGTGCTAGGTTAGCTAGCAAGGCCGGCTAGCTGGCTAGTTATATAGTTGGCTGTCTAGACTGGCTAGCCAGCTGGTTGGCCAGCAAGCTAGTTGTGCAGCAAGATAGCTAGCTAGTTACTTGGACTATTGCTACTGTGGAAGCCCTAAATATTGCAAGTACCACCACATGGGATGTTAACACCACTTCCATGGCATCGCCCGCTGCGTGCGGACCCCGCACCCCCAGGTACAATGTTGAAGCCAAGTGCGTAGCCCCTCTTCCGAGGCCCAATATATTGCAAGTTCAACATTGAGTCAGGGGAGGGGGGGCCGCAGATGTCATGTTGCTGTGCTTCCTGTTGTGACAGGTGCCATTATTTCTTTGCTCCGCACTTGCAATATTTAGGGCTTCAACCGTCTCACGTAGAGCGTCTGTTGTCTTTTGCTTGTGCAATATTTCGGGCTTCCACCGTCTGTGTCCGCGTCTGTCTCACGTAGACCGTCCGTTGTCTTTGGCGTCCGCGTCCGTCTCACGTGCACTGCCCGTTGTCTTCAGTCGGCTTTGTCTGCGCGCTCGCTCGCTTGTCCTCTGCTGCATGGTGGGTGGTGGTGCTCGGTCGGTGGCACAGCCTGGCAGACACGTGTGTGCGCGCGCAGCTCTTGACTTCTGCAGTTGCAAGGTGGCTCAGACACAGGCTATCCGACTTACCACGCATGCCCTTCCGCCATTTCACTGACCGGGAACTCGAGCTGGTTCGCGCTTGGAAGCTTGAAGGGCGGCGCCCTGCCGAGATTGCGGAGCTGCTGGGACGGCACATTTCCACGATCGTCCGGCACTTCCAGCGGCTGTCCCGGGGCCGGGCTGCCAAGCGGCAGCCCACAGGACGACCGCCCAGCCTGACTCAGCGCCAAGTCGACCAAGTTGTGAGCACAACCCAGCGGCTTGTGAAAGAAGCCAAAGCTCAGTGGCAGGTCACGGCTGCCATGGTGCGACAGGCGCTGCGTCTGAAATGCTCTGTTCTGCATGAGCGCGGGATCACCTTTCGACCAATGCGCCAGAAGCCGCTGCGCACTACGGCTGATGAGCACACCCGACTGGAGTGGGGGAAGAAATACGCCCCAAAAAGGGCATCCTTCTGGTCTGAGAGGGTGCACGCCTACCTGGACAACAAGTTCTTCCCCGTCTACCCGAACCACAAGGCAAGGTGCTACGCTGCCAAGCGCGCCACTGGTACCTACCGAGCAAGGGGCGAGGGCTTGGGCGAGGGGCATGTTCGACCACGCAAGACCTTGAAAGTGTCTTGGGGGAAGAGTGTCAACGTGGCGGTGGCCCTGAGTGCCCAGAAGGTTCTGATGTGCCACGTGGTGGAAGGCCACTGGAATGCAGCGGAGGCCTGCCGCATGTATGCACGGAGCCTGGGCCCTGCCCTGCGACGCGCAAGCCCCGAGCTCGACCGGTTTGTGGTGCTGGAGGACAACGATCCCAGCGGCTACAAGAGCCGGGCGGCCAGGGACACAAAGGTGGAGCAGCGGATCAGCGTGCTGGAGATCCCAAAGCGCTCGCCTGACGTCAACCCACTCGACTACGGCTTCTGGGCCCACGTCAATGAGCGGCTGCGCGTGCAGGAGAGCCGCTTCGGCGTCAATTTTCGTGAATCCAGAGACCACTTTGTGCGCCGGCTCAGGCGCACGATCCTGCGCACCCACCCGGCCTTCCTGCGCTCATTGGTGACATCCATGAAGCGGCGAGCAGTGGCCTTGGTGGCCGCCAAAGGGCGGGACTTTGAGGAGTGATACAGCGAAGCCTGCGTCCAAAAATCTCGAGCTCCGACACGTGCATGCAGCTTGCAAGGCTTTGGAAAGACTTGCCTGTGCAAATTGCAAGGGTTAAGGCTTTAGAAAGACTCGCCTGTGCAAATTGCAAGGGTTTGGAGACGCAAAGCGCCAGAAATGTGAAACTCGTGCAACTTGTTCAGCACTTGTCCTGAAACTCGTTGGTATTTGCGTGAAACTCGTGAAACTCGTCTTGAAATCTAGAAGAAAAAAAAGGCTTACTTATTTTTCCTTCTAAGTTTGCCACAGGCAGTTCACAGGGAAACAGCCGAACCCCGCAGTCACCGAACGCTGTTCGAGTGCAACGCTGAAGACTGGCGGACCACGGCCTTGTCGGTGGACAGAGGAAGCACATGCACTACACGCACGTCCGCACCACGTCGGCGGGCACCGGGACCCGGGCTGGGTTCTGGGAGCACATCCTCCAAGTCTACCGAGAAGCATACCCAGACGCTGCCAACCCCACGGGCTCCATCGTGCAGTTTGGGGCAGTCATGCGGCCTCGCAGGATGGTTTGCGGGACGAGCACCATCATTGCCCAGTGTACTGCAGCAAGCGGCACTACTGGAAGCGTGTGGCTGACATCTCCTACCAGAAGTACAAGGTGAAGCTCCACGCGGCCACGCACGACGGGTACTACACCATGTATTCTTACATCACCGCCCCGACTACGAAGAAGCCCTTGGCTGTTGGACGCGGAGGCGCGGAATCTAGACAAACAACCGAACCTGTTTTGTCAAACCTCCCTGTCATGTGTTCTTGTCGGTGGACCACCCGCGTGGAGACGCCCTGCGGCAGTTGCTGGAAGCAGGCGCCATTGCTGCCCGTGCCTTGAATGGACGTCAACACAAGCAACAAGCTGAAGAAGCTCCGCAACGTGCGCCGCAGAAGCGCTTCCGCTCCGGGGACATCTTCACCCTCATGGAGGAGCACAACTTGCAGAATGTCCTGGACTTGCAAGGGCTGGCCAACTCCTTGGCCCAGCAAGGCAACCCTCGCTTGGCGCAGTTCTGCACAAGCATGGGTGAGGACCGCTTGGGTCAGCTGCTCAATGCAGCACGTGGTGTCATGGAAGCACCCACGCGTGTGGCCATGCGCCAGCACTCCCGTTTGGACACCTTGCGGGACGCAGCCATGACTAGTCCTTGCACCTGCAGCGGCGTGTGGGCTCCAGCTGCTCTTCGCACCTTGACCAACAACCAAGAGGATGTGCGCAGGTTCTGCCAAGACGTCTGCCGCGCCCTGCAGTTGGGAGCTCGGCGGGGCGTCAACCTCGCAATTGTCGGCGTCCCAGGCAGCGGCAAAAGCATGCTCCTTGAGCCCTTGGACGGCATCTTTCAGGTCATGGGGAAACCTGAAGCCCGGAGCTCCTTCCCTTTGGCCGGTGCTTTGGATGCGCAGGTGTTGCTGTGGCAAGACTACAAGCACCAGGATCAGACTGTGCTTTTTGAGGACTTGCTCTCCCTCACCGTGGGGGAAATGATCTCAGTCCGAGTGCCACACCAAAAGAACCAGACCTTCCGCAACGTCGCGCCCCTCTTCTACACCTCCAACTTCCCGCTGCAGGTGCGCCGGCCTGACTTGGAGGAGGCCACGCGCTTGAACCAAGCCATGGCCGAGCGCTTCTGCACGCGTCAGTGGAAGATGCCGTTGCCAGAAGCCGAGCGGATCCCGGACCTGCCTCGATGCTCACGGTGCTGCGCCGCGTTCTACCTTGCCAACAGCGCAGGGGGTTAGTTTTGACCAGACCGCTTCGTGTAGAAAACAAGCTTCCAGCCTGCTTTGCACTTGTGACCGCTCCACCCCAGACTGTGGAAGCCCTAAATATTGCAAGTACCACCACATGGGATGTTAACACCACTTCCATGGCATCGCCCGCTGCGTGCGGACCCCGCACCCCCAGGTACAATGTTGAAGCCACGTGCGTAGCCCCTCTTCCGAGGCCCAATATATTGCAAGTTCAACATTGAGTCAGGGGAGGGGGGGCCGCAGATGTCATGTTGCTGTGCTTCCTGTTGTGACAGGTGCCATTATTTCTTTGCTCCGCACTTGCAATATTTAGGGCTTCAACCGTCTCACGTAGAGCGTCTGTTGTCTTTTGCTTGTGCAATATTTCGGGCTTCCACCGTCTGTGTCCGCGTCTGTCTCACGTAGACCGTCCGTTGTCTTTGGCGTCGTCCGTCTCACGTGCGCTGCCCGTTGTCTTCAGTCGGCTTTGTCTGCGCGCTCGCTCGCTTGTCCTCTGCTGCATGGTGGGTGGTGGTGCTCGGTCGGTGGCACAGCCTGGCAGACACGTGTGTGCGCGCGCAGCTCTTGACTTCTGCAGTTGCAAGGTGGCTCAGACACAGGCTATCCGACTTACCACGCATGCCCTTCCGCCATTACACTGACCGGGAACTCGAGCTGGTTCGCGCTTGGAAGCTTGAAGGGCGGCGCCCTGCCGAGATTGCGGAGCTGCTGGGACGGCACATTTCATCGTCCGGCACTTCCAGCGGCTGTCCCGGGGCCGGGCTGCCAAGCGGCAGCCCACAGGACGACCGCCCAGCCTGACTCAGCGCCAAGTCGACCAAGTTGTGAGCACAACCCAGCGGCTTGTGAAAGAAGCCAAAGCTCAGTGGCAGGTCACGGCTGCCATGGCATCGCCCGCTGCGTGCGGAAATGCTCTGTCAAGACCATCCGCAAAGTTCTGCATGAGCGCGGGATCACCTTTCGACCAATGCGCCAGAAGCCGCTGCGCACTACGGCTGATGAGCACACCCGACTGGAGTGGGGGAAGAAATACGCCCCAAAAAGGGCATCCTTCTGGTCTGAGAGGGTGCACGCCTACCTGGACAACAAGTTCTTCCCCGTCTACCCGAACCACAAGGCAAGGTGCTACGCTGCCAAGCGCGCCACTGGTACCTACCGAGCAAGGGGCGAGGGCTTGGGCGAGGGGCATGTTCGACCACGCAAGACCTTGAAAGTGTCTTGGGGGAAGAGTGTCAACGTGGCGGTGGCCCTGAGTGCCCAGAAGGTTCTGATGTGCCACGTGGTGGAAGGCCACTGGAATGCAGCGGAGGCCTGCCGCATGTATGCACGGAGCCTGGGCCCTGCCCTGCGACGCGCAAGCCCCGAGCTCGACCGGTTTGTGGTGCTGGAGGACAACGATCCCAGCGGCTACAAGAGCCGGGCGGCCAGGGACACAAAGGTGGAGCAGCGGATCAGCGTGCTGGAGATCCCAAAGCGCTCGCCTGACGTCAACCCACTCGACTACGGCTTCTGGGCCCACGTCAATGAGCGGCTGCGCGTGCAGGAGAGCCGCTTCGGCGTCAATTTTCGTGAATCCAGAGACCACTTTGTGCGCCGGCTCAGGCGCACGATCCTGCGCACCCACCCGGCCTTCCTGCGCTCATTGGTGACATCCATGAAGCGGCGAGCAGTGGCCTTGGTGGCCGCCAAAGGGCGGGACTTTGAGGAGTGATACAGCGAAGCCTGCGTCCAAAAATCTCGAGCTCCGACACGTGCATGCAGCTTGCAAGGCTTTGGAAAGACTTGCCTGTGCAAATTGCAAGGGTTAAGGCTTTAGAAAGACTCGCCTGTGCAAATTGCAAGGGTTTGGAGACGCAAAGCGCCAGAAATGTGAAACTCGTGCAACTTGTTCAGCACTTGTCCTGAAACTCGTTGGTATTTGCGTGAAACTCGTGAAACTCGTGAAATCTAGAAGCAAAAAAAAGGCTTACTTATTTTTCTTCTAAGTTTCACAAGTTTCACGAGTTTCACGCAAATACCAACGAGTTTCAGAACGAGTTCTGGCCATGCTTCACGAGTTTCACATGTTTCGGGTCTTGGTGCGGAGGTTGTGCGGTACTCTGTTTGCTGCTGTCTTGTCTCACATGCCCGTTCCGCTGTAGCCGTCACCGTAGCCAAGCCGGTCTAGATCTTCGTCCCCAAAACTACTCCTGCCATGGGGTCTGCGGAGGAGGAGGAGTTTTTGGAGGTGCTGCGGGAGTGGGACAACGCAGTCGCGCCATGCCCGCAAGGCGTGGTTCCAGGGGTTGGCCCTGCGCAGCCTGCGGGCGTGGCGCTGCCAGTGGCAGCCGCTGCTGCCGAACTTGGCGAGGCAGCTCGGGGCCGACGCCTCACAGGGAAACAGCCGAACCCCGCAGTCAACCAGAACGCTGCTTCGAGTGCAATCCTGCTGAGAGACTGGCGGACTGCACGGCCTTGTCGGTGGATGTGCAGAGGAAGCACATGCACTACACGCACGTCCGCACCACGTCGGCGGGCGACCGGCAGCCTTCCACCTTCACCCGGGCTGGGTTCTGGGAGCACATCCTCCAAGTCTACCGAGAAGCATACCCAGACGCTGCCAACCCCACGGGCTCCATCGTGCAGTTTGGGGCAGTGGCGAAGGAGCGGCATGCGGCCTCGCAGGATGGTTTGCGGGACGAGCACCATCATTGCCCAGTGTACTGCAGCAAGCGGCACTACTGGAAGCGTGTGGCTGACATCTCCTACCAGAAGTACAAGGTGAAGCTCCACGCGGCCACGCACGGGTACTACACCATGTATTCTTACATCACCGCCCCGACTACGAAGAAGCCCTTGGCTGCATTGGACGCGGAGGCGCGGAATCTAGACAAACAACCGAACCTGTTTTGTCAAACCTCCCTGTCAGGTGTTCTTGTCGGTGGACCACCCGCGTGGAGACGCCCTGCGGCAGTTGCTGGAAGCAGGCGCCATTGCTGCCCGTGCCTTGAATGGACGTCAACACAAGCAACAAGCTGAAGAAGCTCCGCAACGTGCGCCGCAGAAGCGCTTCCGCTCCGGGGACATCTTCACCCTCATGGAGGAGCACAACTTGCAGAATGTCCTGGACTTGCAAGGGCTGGCCAACTCCTTGGCCCAGCAAGGCAACCCTCGCTTGGCGCAGTTCTGCACAAGCATGGGTGAGGACCGCTTGGGTCAGCTGCTCAATGCAGCACGTGGTGTCATGGAAGCACCCACGCGTGTGGCCATGCGCCAGCACTCCCGTTTGGACACCTTGCGGGACGCAGCCATGACTAGTCCTTGCACCTGCAGCGGCGTGTGGGCTCCAGCTGCTCTTCGCACCTTGACCAACAACCAAGAGGATGTGCGCAGGTTCTGCCAAGACGTCTGCCGCGCCCTGCAGTTGGGAGCTCGGGGGGCGTCAATCTCGCAATTGTCGACGTCCCAGGCAGCGGCAAAAATGCTCCTTGAGCCCTTGGACGGCATCTTTCAGGTCATGGGGAAACCTGAAGCCCGGAGCTCCTTCCCTTTGGCCGGTGCTTTGGATGCGCAGGTGTTGCTGTGGCAAGACTACAAGCACCAGGATCAGACTGTGCTTTTTGAGGACTTGCTCTCCCTCACCGTGGGGTCAGGGGAAATGATCTCAGTCCAATATTTAGGGCTTCAAGTGCCACCCAAAAGAACCAGACCTTCCGCAACGTCGCGCCCCTCTTCTACACCTCCAACTTCCCGCTGCAGGTGCGCCGGCCTGACTTGGAGGAGGCCACGCGCTTGAACCAAGCCATGGCCGAGCGCTTCTGCACGCGTCAGTGGAAGATGCCGTTGCCAGAAGCCGAGCGGATCCCGGACCTGCCTCGATGCTCACGGTGCTGCGCCGCATAGCTTTTGAGCATACCCCAAGCCTTCCGCAACGATTCTGCCGGGAATGCTCGCAAGGCTTGAGAAGAGGGCTACGGATTTTGTTGAAATCTTCGTATCAGGGCCTTACCCCTTTTCATAGGATACCCACTCCCACCCTCCCCCAATTCCCCAATCCCCCCCTGCAGTTTCCTCCAAATACCACCTCAATGTGGCCCGAGGTGGGTCATGTTTTCAGGAAGCAGGTGGAAGTTACTCAGGAAAGTGCGCACTTCGGATCTGATGTTCTTTCCAGTTGGAATTTCACACACCGGTTCGGGAGGTCTTCCTTCATTTCCGGCGTGTGAATGATTCTAGGTGTCTTCCGTAATTCCGGTGTGAATTACTGTGAAGCATAGAATGTGAATTTGCTCAGGTGCATGATACGATGTAGTGCTGTCAACGACACATCACCATCCGGTTTTAGCCTGAAAGCCGAATCCAGGTCTGGGAATTCAAGTAATTTGCCTAGGTTGTTCAGTAGTGCCCTTTCACCCTTTCTTGGGGGAGGGTGCCCCTACTAGAATAGACTACAGAAAAAAGGGTACCCTTATTCCAACCTCTCCACTGGAGGACCTAGTTGCGCATGTTGCTGTTTCGTCGTGCAGGCTGCCCTTATCAAGCATGGGGGAGCTGGAGCTTGAGGTTTGCACGGAAGGAACAGGCGCGAGAGCCCGTCCGTTCTGTTCGGCTCATAATCCCATGATGAACCTGGGTTGCATCCACGTCTGGGGGTGAAAACCCATTTGTGGCGCCCTGTCTTGACACATACACATATGTGGTTTTCTAGGCCGTCTATTTGGAAAAGAAGGGCTCTTTGTACACTTGTTTGTTGATGCCAAGTAGTATCATTGCTTGTTTTTGCAGGTCAGATCAGATCAGGCATTGCGGCAGTTCGAAAGCATACGGTGGTTCGATGTTTTTTCTTCGAATAGTAAACTATAAGCTACCTAAACGTGGACATTTGCGCGAAACAACATACATGCCAACAGGCAGAAGTTGTGGGGCTGCGATGCATCCACGTAATGTGTCAAACGTGTGTGTGTGTGTGTGTGTGTGTGTGTGTGTGTGTGTGTGTGTGTGTGTGTGTGTGTGTGTGTGTGTGTGTGTGTGTGTGTGTGTGTGTGTGCGTGTGTGAAACGAACATGTTTTGATTGGAAAGGCAGTGTGTGGCCCATTGTGTTGGGATTCTGAGCGCCTTGAAAGGTGAGGAATCATACGTATCCTGTTTAGTTTGGTTGAACATGGCACTGGTACATGATCAGAACAAGCAGGCCGCAGGCCCCCGCTTCTTTTTCTGTCCTTTGGTAGGAAGCACGCCCTTCGATCGCTGAGCCAGGTTTGTGTGACGTGGCCTATGGCCAGGACATCCCCCCGCAGCTGGTGGTGGACGCGGAGCCTGCGGCATTCATGTGATGCACTAGTGTTTATGCTTGCTCTTGCGATTGCGGTTGTGGTTGTTGTTCTTGTTGTTGTGGTGGTCGTCGTCGTCGTCGCCGTCGTTGTGGTTGTTGCTCTTGCTGTTGCTGTTTATGTTGCAGTTGCTGTTTATGTTGCTGTTGCTGTTGCTGGTGGTGGTGCTGGCTGTGTGGCTTAAAGATACAACAACTTGACTGTCACTTCAGCCAGGAGCCCCACGTCTGCGCCTTCCGCTCTGGGCGGGCGCCGGAGGTGGTGCTGTTGAGGGTGCGCAGCCGCTGCCAGGCGAGCGCGTGGGGTGGCGTTTTTTGTTTGGGGGGGGGGAGTGGTGCTTGTTGGGGGTCAGGTTCTGAAAAGTCGGCGCTTCTGATTTGTGCCTTAGGTGTTTAGATCTTTGTTGTTATTTGGGAACGGATCTTTGGACTTCAACTTGTTGGTTGAAACAGAGGGGTTTCCGAATTTGACCAGAGGGGTCAACAGCAACCAAGAGGTAGTTTGACTTGAATCAAGGGATCAAGGTGCCTGAGACGAGGTTTTCCCAGCAACCAACAGATGGCTTCGCTTAGGGGAAGAAATGCTCGGGTGCTGTTGGTGCCATGCCGATTGGGTCCCCATAATGTTGAGAAGGGAAACCAGGAGCAGTGTCCAAAGTCTTTTTTTGAGGGTACCCCTTTTGGTTGGGCTTTTTAAAGGGAAGCCAAAAGGAAACCAACCATTTTGGGGTCCCCTAAAAACAGGCATACCCAAATTGAGATCCGTTTGAAGACCTGAATCATCAAGCGCAGTTCGAAGAAAGTTTCTGCACGTTCCATAGTCAAAACACCCTTTCACTTGCGGTTGGCATGGATGGTATTGGATGGTCATGACCCCTTGGATAATTGGACCGTCATGATGATGTTTCCTCCGAACTCACCAATTCCCAGCTGTTCACCTGTTCAGGCACCCCTAAAGCAGAGCAACTTTAAAGGGGGGTCCACGGGGGTCCCCTTGGGTGTCCAAATAAGTTTGAGCTGTTTCCCAGGGGTTCTAGGCTATAGCAGGAACAATGGCCATGTCCATAGGAGGTTTGACCATTGGCTCACTCGCAGGACCCATCACTGGAGACGCGACTCTATGGCCAACGTCTGCCTCTGGTGCTTCCGCGGCCAGGCGAGTCGAGCCGAGTCGGTGCACGCGGCGCGTTTTCAGTTCATGGAGCAGAACCTATGGCTCCATTTTGGGGTGGATGAACATCCATTTGCCACCTATTTTGATGTTTACCAGGGGTACAGGGTTTTGACCCACAGCCAAGGGGTTGGGGAGGTTTCAAAGCGAAGACAGCCCAGTTGCCCAGTGGATTCCGCCCTTCTTTCCCTCTTTTTTTGGTGGGAAGGGTTCACCTTTCAACTCAACCAACCACAAAATGATGCCGATTCCCATGGCCACAGGGCATTTTTTCCGGGCATCTGAGACGAAGTTGAAGTCTCGAAAGTTTTGGCCGGTTGGACACTTTCGGACGCGACCGTTTGGATGTAAGCACCTGGCAGGCAGCTTGGTAGTAGCCTACTTACTAACTAGGTGGGCTGAACATCCAAGTACCCCTTCATATCACTTCTCACTATCAGGGGCCTATTCTTGTGTTGTTCGAATCAGTTGACTGTTGACATGATTGTTTTCATACAACTAGTTGTGTACATTTATTGTCGGCGCTCTCTCAACTGTTTGCTTTGCAGATGTGAGCGCTTGGGTTGGTGTATCATGCAAAACCTTGCACTGAGAACGTGCCAAGAACGTCACCCCATCCCCCAAACAGCGAGAGGTAGGTAAGAGTATGTCCGGGGACTTTCCCGCGTGCTTTGTGCTTGTCCTGTTTGAGCGGGGTTGTCAGAATCGCGAGCCCTGGACCCCACTCAGTTGGGAATCATCGGGGTTTGGGAAGGAACCTAAGATCCCCTCGAAGGAAGCCACAAGGGATGGTACTAGGAGTCATTTCCGGGGTCACTCTCTCATTCCGCGCTGAGCAACCAACAACATGGCACCGCGGAGTTGGTTTTTTCCGCATGTCCGATAAGAAGACCATTAGGACAACTCACCGACCGTGCTGTTGTCATGTCCATGTCAGCGCAAACCGGTCCCCAGGCCCATGTTAGGTTCTAACAATGACCCGGTTTTATCAGGAGTTAAATGGGTTTGTCTCAAAGTAGGCCCAAAACTCCCTTTCGCCTTTTAAATCAACCAAACGGGGGTCATCCAAAAAAGACACTCACATCCGTAGTACACTCCCTCGTAACATGGAAGCTCCCAGAAGGCCTCAAATGGGTCACCAAGTCTTTCATTTCGGGGTCCTAGGGAGCTTCCATGGAATCGCCTGGAGGGTATAAGCTTTTTCGTTTCACTGGGCCGCGCCTTCCTTGGAAACCCGTTGGATTGATGTGGATTGATGTGGATTGATGGTAAAAACCTTTACCGTCATGTTATTAACCCATCCATGAAACCAAACGCTGCATGAGCAGGATTGGGAGGCCCGGAGCCGGAGGCGGCTCAAGACGCCCACGTGCTGCGCTTGGAACACTTCGGGAGGGCCTCCATGTGTATGTGTGTGTGGGTGTTTTTTTGAAAGCCCTTTTCTGGTTGCTTTGAGAAGGAAGCGAAAGGGAAAGCCCACCATTTGTCGGATGGCATATTTTAGGATACCCACGTGTTATATGTTGGGGTAGATTCTATTTTGGAAAAGCCTGTGAACATATTATGTGGAACCCAGATGTTCAAGAAAATGGTGTTGCCGAAATTGAATAAATTCTTTAGGAACAACTGTTGCGGCTAAACTTGTCAAATCCCAGTCGGAGCCAGCATAGCTGAAGACAGACCCTTCCCTTTTGTCTGGTGGGTTTGCACAAATCAATTCCCAAACTAGTCTAGTTTTCGGGAGGGAATGAGGAATGACTCCGAGTTGAACCAAACTGGCGGTTTTCTGCAAGGGGATCCCACAAAGTTCATTGCCAAACTCCGTGGAACGATGTCCTCAGCAGCACGCTTGATTGTAACCCTGGCAAAATGCGGCAGAGGTCGGTGGACAGCTATGAGTATAACTTGCTGCAAAAATAACTTACTATGGGTGTAACTTGCCTGTATGGATCTGTTTGTTTTTTTGGGGCACCCCCCAACATGGATCCGGTTTCCCTTTTGATGCTTTCCCGGTAAACCCACAAAAAAAGGTGCCTTCAAAAAAAGACACACCCACATGGTTACAACTAGCTGTGTTTTATAGCTATGGCGAACGGCAGAGGTCGGTGGCCCCCAAAGTTGGTTCCCTTTTGGGCGCAAAAGGCGTCCGCTTGGCTGCGCGCGGGTTTTGAGTTGCCTTGTTTCTAAGAACCCCCAAATCACTACCCCCAGAAATCTAGGGATATACAACCGCTATAAAGTCGCTATGTACCCAAAATTCCTTTGGTTTTGAGGGTAGTGGAAACCATGTAAGAT